CACCGCCACCACCACCACCGCCAGCGCCAGCACCAGCACCGGCACCAGCACCACCCCACCACCACCCCTAGCACCACCACTACCAAGCAAGCAGCAGCACCACCACTAACAGCACCGCCAGCATCACCAGCACAACAGCTGCCACCACCGTGGCCACCACCACCAACAACAACACCACTGCCATTACCAAAACTATCACCAACAGCAACAGCAGCAGCAGCAACACCAACAGCAACACCAGCAACAGCAGGAACAACAAGACCAACAGTAACAGCCACAACAACCAAGCCCAAGCATCAGCAACAACCACTACCAACCGTAAACCAACAAAGAACACACCTATAAGCCCTAAGCCTTAAGACCCTAAACCCTAGACCCTGAACCCTAAACCCTAAGCCTTAAGACCCTATTCAAACCCTAAACCCTAAACCCTAAACCCGAAGCCTTATGACCCTATTCAAACCCTAAACCCTAAACCCTAAACCCGAGCCTTAAGACCCTATTCAAACCCTAAACCCTAAACCCTAAACCCTAAGCCTTAAGACCCTATTCAAAAAGACAGACCGTCGGGAGGCTCCGGCCCAGCCCATGTGGCAGCGCTGCCCCAGGAGGTGGCCGAGCTTGTAGCGATGGTCTTTCTCAAGGCAGGGTTCAGGGGTTTAGGGTTTAGGGTTTAGGGGTTCAGGGGTTTAGGGTTTAGGGTTTATAGGGGTTCAGGGGGTTTAGGGTTCTAGGGTTTAGGGTTCAGGGTTTAGGGTTTAGGGTTTAGGGTTTAGGGGTGTAGGGGTTTAGGGGTTTAGGGGTTAGGGTTTAGTTGAAGGGTTTAGGGGTTAGACCTTCATGTTTAGAGGTCTTGGGGGCTCAGAGTTTCGGATTTGGGTGTTCAACTAGAATATAAGAAGAAACATTAGAGGTTGGAGTTTGGAGTTCCGGGTTCGGTTTATGGTCTTTCTCGAGGCCCTGGCAGGATTCTTGCATGGGTTCCAGAAAGGCTTTGAGACGGTTTAAATGGTTTAGGGCTGCAAGTGCTTCCAGGATTCATGGTTTCTCGTTTGGTTTAGCTCTCACTGGACTTTAGGGTTTTAAGGTTCCCAGAGACTCCAATACCCCTTAATTAAGGCATATACCTTAAAGTATAGTAGGATCCCTAATATGATTTAAGGTATATTCCTTAATTAAGGGATATTGGAGTCTCTGGGTTTAGTAGGGTTTGGGGATTTAGGGCTGATGGGCTTTTGGGCTCAGAGTTGAGGGTTTGAAGGGTTTGCAAGGAGTGCAGGATTTACAGGGCCGGGGGTTTCAGCCCCCTAAACAAAGGAATACTATGGGCTTCTACTGACGCATACCTAAACCCCCATCCCCTAAATCCCAAAACGCCGCACGCAGAACAGATCTTGCACGACAGAAGGGCATGTTCCTTTTCGGGTCGTTTGACGGAGTGCGCCGAGGAGCCCTTTGCGGAAGACATGTTTTCCTCGTATGAAGGACCCAGAGACTCCAATATCCCTTATCTAAGGAATATACCTTAAATCTTATTAGGGTTCCTACTTAATTTTAAGGTATTTTCCTTAATTAAGGGATATCGGAGTCTCTTGGGAGCCAGCGCCATACTGCTGTGGCACTCGGAAAGACTGGTGTGCAGTGTGCGAGGCGTTCCGCACGCTTCCAGCTTTCAACGATTGAGCATCCACGGTTGGACTGTTGGACGTTGTCAAGGAGCCACCGCTATACTGCTGTGGCAGTCAGAAAGTGTGTGCACTGCAACGTCTGCCGCCTTCTCGGCTGTGACCATGGCGCCCTGCCTTGGCAAGTCCCCCGGGCATGTGTTGCTGTGAGGGGGGCTGTGCTTAAGATTTGTGTTTTCGCGCTGTTGTAATTGTGGGAAATATGTAGGAGTTATGATCTTGCCGTGCATCCTGCACCCGTTTCCGGATTGTCTTAGCATGAAACTCATTAAACCCATAAGCCTGAGCCCGTAACGACTGCACGGTAGCGCATGAAATCGTCCAAGTCGTTGCACAAGAAGTTGCAGACCAGGTCCACGTTCTAAGTGACACAAAAAGGACGTAAGATATGCATTTTGCAGGGGGATCAGCAACTTATTGGGCTTCATTAGAAAGGGGTTTCTTGGCGTTCAGTCCTGCCGTGGTGTTCGTTTCAATTTTAAACAGCGTTTCGGGTTTGTGTTTCAATAGTCGTAAACCTTTTGTTTCTGAGAGTCGTGAAACCCTAAGCTCTACACCCTAACCCTAATCCCTACACCCTAAACCCTAAGCCCTAAACCCTAAACCCTAAGCCCTAAACCCTAAACCCTCTTTTGGTCGGCCCCTAAACCCTACACCCTAAACCCTAAGCCCTGAAACCAAAACAGCCAAATCCTGAGCTGTAATGACCCTGGATCCGCGACCCCCAACCCCACTGGATCCCAAAGCCCAAACACCGTAATCTAGGGGCCTGAATAAGAATTGCCTGTACCTTTTTTGGGGGTTCCTTGTTATAATTATAGTATAATATACCCCAAAACCCTATTCTGATTATTAAGGCCCTAAACCCTAAACCCTAAACCCCAAAACGCTGTTCTGATGATTAAGGCCCCTACATTAGATCCGGGACCTCCAAGCCCATGAGATCCCAAAGCCCAAACAGCGTAAAGCCCAATCGGCCCCGGCCCAGCGCTAAGGCCGTTTAGGGTTCAAGGTTCGGGTCGGGTTTAGGGTTTAGGGTTTAGGGTTTAGGGTTCAGGGTTTAGGGTTCAGGGTTTAGGGTTCAGGGTTCAGGGTTCAGGGTTTAGGGTTTAGGGTTCAGGGTTTAGGGTTCCCGCCTTGTTCAGTTGTTTGGTTTCAGTCTTCAGTTTCTTGTGGCTTCTGGCTATAGGATGAATAGGAAGCTTAATGATTGGCGATACTGCTCATTCGAACCAGGGTTCCCGAAAACAAACTAAAGTGTTCATGAAGAGATCCCCGTGGTCCAACTCTTCAGGCCTCTTTACTGGCCCGCAAGTCTAAGCCCTGTAAGCCTGCAAGCCCTTACACTTTCTCTGACACAAATATCAGCACTGCGGCGGCGGCCTTTGAAGCAAGATTGACCACCCCTCTGGGCCCAACATAAACTGCTGAAAGCTACCATGTTGCAGGGAGACCCTAAACCCTAAACCCTAAACCCTAGACCCTAAACCCTAAACCCTAAACCCTAAACCCTAAACCCTAAAACCCTAAACCCTAAACCGTACCTTCAGACGTGGGGGGTAGGCAGACACGGCCCCGTTCGACGATCGGCTGACAGCTTCGGAGGCCACTGTGGCGGGGCTGGCGCCTTTGGCACCTTGTCTCAGTTCGGGCTCTGATGTTTGTACAAGGTTGGGCCGAAACTAGTTCCTTTAGGGTTTAGGGTTTAGGGTTTAGGGTTTAGTGTTTAGGCATCCTGCTTCCTCCGTTAAGGACCTTAGGTTTAGGTCCTTCACGGGCGGTCGTTCGGGATGGTTTTCGGTTGGGTCTGGTGACAGGGCGTTTCCATGGGCTTCAGGCTGACAGGGGGAGCTTAGGGTGTAGGGTTTAGGGTTTAGGGTTTAGCGTAGGTCTCAATCAGCCGTAGGTTCGTTTCGAAGGATGTTGAAGCCTGTCAGCGGTTCAAACTCTTTTCCGGAGTTACAAAGGGCCATCGTCAGTGTTAAGAAGTACAGTTAGCATTGGGGGGGGGGGGGGGGGGNNGGGGGTGCTTGTGTCTAAGAGACCGGGTTAGGGTTTGTTCTTATAGCGTAAAACCCGGTTAGAAGGTTTTGCGGTTCCCTTGGTAAGGATTGGGGGCTTTATGACCCAGGTGCCATAGAGCCTACCCCTCAAACCCAAACCCTCATCCCCAACCAAACCTAGCTACTAGTAGCGCTGAAACCGAAGCCTCCTCCCCCACCCCGCTGAGGTTAGAAACCGCGACGCTTTAGGTTTCAAACCGCGACGCTTTAGATCTGCTATCGGGGCCTCGTAGTGGGAATAGGGTTTAGGGGTAATTATGGTAGAGTCCAGCTTCTCGTGTATCGTCACGCGTACATCGGCAAGATCAAGAGGCACCAGTGCTGTTTCTTCAGACCCCTACATACCCTAAGCCCTAAACCTTAAACCATGAACCCGAAACCTTTTTAGACATTATAAACTTTAATAACCCTAACCCTAAACCCTAAACCCTAAACCCTAAACCCCAAACCCTAAACCCTAAACCCTAAACCCTATAAACCCTAAACCCTAAACAGCCATACACTCTTCCCTTTAAGGGAAGCCATGGGTCAAGGTCTCAGGCCCGAGCTCTACAACTTGCCCGAAGCTTCGAGACGCCCCAACCATGTAGAGGAGAAGACGGGTTTAGGGTTTAGGGTTT